CCAAACCAGGTGAGACCGTAGGCCAAACCAGGTGAGACCATACGGCCAAACCAGGTGAGACCGTAGGCCAAACCAGGTGAGACCGTAGGCCAAACCAGGTGAGACCGTATGACCAAACTAAGTGAGACCGTACGACCAAACCAGGTGAGACCATACGACCATACAACCAAACCAGGCGAGACCATACAACCAAACCAGGTGAGACCATAGACCAAAACAGGTGAGACCATACGACCAAACCAGGTGAGACCATACGACCAAATCAGGTGAGACCATACGACCAAATCAGGTGAGACCGTACGACCAAACCAGGCGAGACCATAGACCAAATTAAGTGAAACCATAGACCAAACCAGGTGAAACCATAGACCAAACCAGGTGAGACCATAGACCAAACCAGGTGAGACCATACGATCAAACCAGGTGAGACCGTACGACCATACAACCAAATCAGGCAAGACCATAGACCAAAACAGGTGAGACCATACGACCAAACCAGGTGAGACCATGCGACCAAACCAGGTGAGACCGTACAACCAAACCAGGCGAGACCATAGACCAAATTAAGTGAAACCATAGACCAAACGAGGTGAGACCGTAGACCAAACCAGGTGAGACCATAGACCAAACCAGGTGAGACCATAGACCAAACCAGGTGAGACCGTATGACCATACAACCAAACCAGGCGAGACCATAGACCAAACCTGGTGAGACCGTAGACCAAACCAGGTGAGACCGTAGACCAAACCAGGTGAGACCGTAGGCCAAACCAGGTGAGACCGTAGACCAAACCAGGTGAGACCGTAGGCCAAACCAGGTGAGACCATACGGCCAAACCAGGTGAGACCGTAGGCCAAACCAGGTGAGACCATACGGCCAAACCAGGTGAGACTGTAGGCCAAACCAGGTGAGACTGTAGGCCAAACCAGGTGAGACCGTATGACCAACCTAAGTGAGACCGTACGACCAAACCAGGTGAGACCATACGACCATACAACCAAACCAGGTGAGACCATAGACCAAACCAGGCGAGACCATAGACCAAACCAGGTGAGACTGTATGACCAAACTAAGTGAGACCATACGACCAAACCAGGTGAGACCATAGACCAAACCAGGCGAGACCATAGACCAAACCAGGCGAGACCATAGACCAAACCAGGCGAGACCATACGACCAAACCAGGCGAGACCATAGACCAAACCAGGTGAGACCATATGACCAAACCAGGCGAGACCATAGACCAAATGAAGTGATACCATAGACCAAACTAGATGAGACCATAGACCAAACTAGGTGAGATGAGGTCTGGCCATTCTAGCTTCCAAGGAGCATTCCAGCTGTACATTTTCCAGGACAGATCTGCACCCCTCTAGTCCTCTCTTTTTTTCTTGCTTTGTTCCACTCTGTGCCTCCCTCACTGTGCCCCCCCGGCCCCCCCAGGGTCACCAGAGCTGAGAGCCGAGGAGACCCAGCCCAAGGCTGAGGGCAGCTGGCAGGAAGGAGATGAAGTCAAGCTGACCTGCTCTGCCCGCGGCTACCCAGAGCCCAGACTCAGCTGGAGCCGGCTGGGTGGCAGCGTAAGGGCCTCCTCCCCACCCCAAATCCTCCTCCGGGACCCAGGCGCCCTCCCCCAGCTCGCTCCCCGAGCCAGGAGTGGTGTCCCCCCTGGCTCCCTGGGGCCTAGGCACCTGCCACCAGTGCCCTCACCCCAGCCCTCGGCACTGCGGGTGTGGGCCTGACCCGAGCCTCCTCAGCCAGCAGAGCCGGTCCCTGGAGGGCAGGGCTGGGTGAGCAGCTCCCTGACCCTGAAGGTGACCAGTGCCCTGAGCGTTGAGGGCGTCTTCTGTGAGGCCTCCAACCCCCACGGAAACACTCAGCATGTCTTCCACTTTGGTGCAGGTGAGTACCTGCAGCGGGAGGTTGGGGATCCAGGCGCAGGGGCTCACAGAGCCCTGCTGGCTGACCCCTCCCTCTGCCCCGTGCCTGCAGTGGCCCCGCAGACCGCCCAGGCTGGAGTGGCCGTCATGGCCGTGGCCGTCAGCGTGGGCCTCCTGCTCCTGGTTGTTGGTGCCTTCTACTGCATGAGACGCAAGGGGCGCCCCGGCTGCTGCCGGCGGAGGGAGAAGGAGGCGCCGTGAGTGACCCACAGCCTCTGAATTGACCTCTGCGATCCCATCTTAGCTCCAACCATGACCTCATCCCCAACCTCAGCCCCAAACCCAACCACAGCCCCAACTCATCTCCAATCCCAAACCCAACCCATAGCCATCCCTCAACCCATCCCCATTTCCAAGCCCACTTAACCCCATCGTCACCCCCAAATCTACCCCCACTCCCTCCTTAATCCCAAACCCAACCTGTAACCATCCCCAAACCCAACCCCACCTACTAACCTTATCTTCAACCTCACCCAGCTACTTCCCCATGCTCAGTCCCAACCTTTAACCATCCACACCCCATCCCCATGTCCAACTCCAGCGCCAGCCAAACCCTCAACCTTCAACTCCATCTTCCTCTCCAACCTCAACCCATCACCATCCATCCCCAACCCTTCCACAGACATACCCTCAACAGGACTTTTGTGGTTCCCTGGTGCCGCTCTGACAAGAAATATACCACAAATGGGACGGCCTTAACAAACAGGAGTTTATTCTGACAATTTGGAGGCTTTAAGTCCAAGTTCAAAGTGCCAGGCTCTAGGGGCTGGGGGAAAGCCCTTCAACCTTGGGGTCCAGCGCTGCCTCCTGCTCCCGGCCCACTGGAGCTAGAGGCGTTTCTTCACTCAGACAGCTGCTGGCTGCTGAGACTGAGAAGCCCCAAGGGTGACAAGTAAAAAGGCACAGTCCCGATGTTAGCAAACCACACGGCAGGCCATTAACTTAAGTCCATCGTAAGTCCCAAGGTCAGCAGGGCATAGTAGGCTGCTGAGTAACACGGCTACATGCAGGGTCCAAGCGTGCCACGGCCTAGGCTATCCGCAAAGCTTCTCCTTATATACAGGAAGCAGACCATATCCCAATGGCAGCTACTCAGCTGCTTGTGGTAGATCCCACCGTGGAGCTGATTGCCAGTCTCATCATGGGGAATAACTACCACCAGCTGCCCAGCCACTCAGCCAGGCCCAGACAAGTTGACACACAAACATAATTACCACAGGACTCCATCTCTACCCTCCCATCCCCAATCCAGTTGCAACTGCACCCCATCCCTAATTCCTTCCCCAAACCTGACCACCTCCTCCCTGCAGGCCACCCGGGGATCCGGAGCTGAGCCACTCGGGCTCCGAGCGGCCAGAGCAGACAGGCCTTCTCACGGGAGGTGCCTCTGGAGGAGCCAGGGGTGGCAGTGGGAGCTTTGGAGATGAGGTGGGTGAGGGCCTGGGCACCCCGAGGAGAAGGAGCCCGCTGGGCAGTGATGTGGCCTTGGTGGGCACTAGCTGACCCTCTCTACCTCCTTCCCAGTGCTGAGCCTACGGACCGCCCCAGGCAGTCACCGGACCCAGAGCTGCAGTGGGTATCAGAGGACCAGAGAACCGGCCCTGCTCCTGGCTCCGCCCGCCCCCATCTTCCCTCCCCCTCCCGGCCCTCCCTTCCTTCCTCTGCCTGGGCAGGACCTAGAGCAGCCTGCTGGCTGGGAGGAAGAGGAGATGGGAGGGGGCCTTCCTCCAGGGATTGTGACTCTCCCAGGCCCCAGAATAGCTCCTGGATACAAGCCCAGGCCCTGGGCCTGGGACGAGGCTCCGAGGGTCGGCAGCTTGGGCTATTTTTACCTCCTGCCTCCCTTGCTGGTCCCCCCACCTGACGTCCTGCTGCCTAGTCTGACACTGGATCCCCGCCCCCGCCCCGCCCCTCATCTGTGGACACTGGAGTCTGGAATAAATCCTGTCACTTCCACACCATCCCTCAGCCAGAGCCTCCCGTGGGGGGGGTAGGAAGGGACCGTGGGTGACGTAGGTGATGCTCCCCGGCTCATAAAGGTGCCCTTGCAAGCCCTCGGGCAGAGGCTGATGTCATGGAGAAAGGCATGACGTGGAGACAGCAGAGTGTGACTCAGCCAGCTGAGGGTGGAGAGAGGGGTGCAGGGATTGAGAGAGTGCTGGGGCAGCCCCTGAGGACCAGAGCCTGCTTGCAGGGTCCGGTGCTGTCTTCTTCAGCGAGAGTTCCTAGTTCCTCTGGCCAGAGCCCCAGAGGGAGTTGAAACTGGGGGAGGAAAAAGTCCCTCTTAGCAGCAGAGTTGATGGAATTAGGGATGGAGCCACCTCCCTCTGGCAGGCCACAGGCCTTGGGGAAAGGGAAGTGGCTCGGAGGAGCCCAGATCCAGGGGCTGGCAGAGAAGAGAGAGACAGTGAGGCCAGTGCTACTAAAGAGAGAAAGAAGGGTTTGCAAAGGATGGAGGGGGAGGCTTACGGGAGGGAAGTGGGATGGGCTGAGAGTCCACAGAGTAAGCGAGACAGACAGACAGAACTGGAATTCAGAGAGGTGATTATAGCCAGAAACCAAAAAACCAAACCGGCTATCTTTGAATCCATTGTCAGGCCCTTCTTCCTAGCTGCCTGTCAGTGGACTCGAACCTCTGACCTTTTGGTTAGTGGCTAAACCCGTTAACAGTCAGCAGTTCGAACCCACCAGCCACTCCGACAGAGAAGGATCTGAGGATGGGTTTCCGTAAAGATTCACTGCCTTAGAAAACCTATGGGCAGCTCTACTCTGTCCTCCGTGGGTGCTGTAAGTTGGAATCAACTCTGACAGCAATTAGTTTTGTTTTTCTTGTTCTCTCTATAGTAGAGTTGACTATTCTTTTGGAAAAAAAAAAAAAAAAAGACCGCAAACGCACATACAGGGTCAAAGGGTGGTTGGGAGAATTTGATGAGAGCTCGTGCAAAGAGCTTATCACAAAGCCGGAGACAGTGTAAGTGTTCTGTACGTGTTAATTGTTATTACTGTCTTCAAAAGACAGAGAGGAGCAGAAAAAGGTCCCTTGGTCCCGGAAAAGAACCGAAGTCAAGAGACACCTCTCTAAGGGTAGACAGGAGAGGAGGTATCTGGGGAGCTGGAGGGGGAGTTGACAGATGGCTGTGGGGAGGGGACTCTCGGGAGGAAGGGGTTCTCCGCCTAGCACCTGGTCCCCAAGTTAATGAGGGGAAGGTCCCAGCCCAGTCTCTCAAGAGGGCATGCATTTGCATAAGGTCCCTCATCTGCATGGCATCATGGACAGTTTGCATGCAGATGGCAGCCTGGCCCTCCCCACTCTGACCCCTCCACCCACCTGGGGGGAAGAGTGGGGGAGGGGTGGACCAGGATCTGGAACTCCAGGAAGTGAAGGCAAGTTTGGAATAAACTCCCCTTGCTCATCAACCTTCTGTAGCTCCCCATTACTCCCAGGAGCGTGAGCCATCCTGTGCCTGGCATTCAAGGCCTTCCAAGATGCTGTCCTTCACACATAATCCCTGCCTCTTCAGGCCTTTGTGACTTTGTTTTGTGGGATTCCCTGCCCCATTTTCCCCACTATAACAAAGCTTGCCTCTCCTTTAAGGTCTGGACATTTTGAAGGAGCCTATAAAGTGCATAGTGCCTAAGGCACTTGACTGCTAACCAGAAGGCTGGCGGTTCAAACCCACCAGCCACTCCTCCGAAGAAAGTTTGGGCAATCTACCGTAGTGATACTGCCTCGGAAACCCAAGGAGGGGTCGCTATGAGTCAGGTCCAACTCGAGGGCACATACCAACCAACATAAAGTTTTCAAGGAGGCCTGGTGGCACAGTGGTTAAAGAACTTGGCTAGGAACCAAAAGATTGGCGGTTTGAACACACCAGCCACTCCGTGGGAGAAAGATGTGGCAGTCTGCTTCCTTAAAGATGACAGCCTAGGAAACCGTATGTGACCGTTCAATTATGAGTCAGAATCGACCCAACGCCAGTGGGTTTATAAAGCTTCCACCCCTTTTCCCTTCCCCTGAAAATTTACAAGACTGTCCCTTTTCTGGGCTCAGAGATTTTATGAGTGAGGATATGTTTGTTTGCAAATGACAAAAGCCTAACTCAAAAACTAATATAGGTGAGTGGGGAAAAGTATTCCCTCATTTAACCAGGAAACAAGGGCTTTTAGCTTCAGGCATAGCTGGATCCAGGGGCTCAAACTGTTTCATTGGAAAGCTGTTCTTTTCTGTCTTTCAGCTCTGCTGACCTCCACGAACAGGCAGTCTTGTTTTAGGTACCACCCACAGCACAAGATCACAAGATTTCTACCCTATCAGTTTAGCAACCCCAGTGAAAGTGGGTGTCCCTTCCCCATTAACCAGAAACCAAACTCATTGTTGTCGAGTCAGATCCAACTCATAGCAACCACTCCTTGGGTTTCCGAGGCAGTATCACTTTGGAAGTAGATTGCCTGACCTTCCTTCTGAGGAGTGGCTGGTGGGTTTGAACCACCAACCTTCTGGTTAGCAGTCAAGTGCCTTAGGCACTGCACCACCAGAGCTCCTACCTTCACAGAAGCAAAGCCCAAACCAAACCCAGTGCCTGGAGGGGATTCTCACCCACAGCGCCCCTAGAGGACAGAGTGGAACTGCACCACAGGGTCTCCAAGGCTGTCAGTCTTTATGGGAGCAAAGCCCAAACCAAAGTCACTGCCATTGACTTGACTTGACTCATAGCGACCCCTCCTTGGGTTTCCGAGGCAGTATCACTATGGAAGTAGATTGCCTGACCTTCCTTCTGAGGAGTGACTGTAAGTTTGAACCACCAGCCTTCTCGTTAGCAGTCAAATGCCTTAGGCACTATTCTGCCAAAGTTTCCCCTCCCCCATTAGTTCTGGCAAAAATCTCAGGGCTAATTCTCATTGGTCAAGAATGAGTTCCATATCCATCACTGAACCAATTCCTGTAGCTAGAGGGGTGGGATGCTCTGATTGGCCAAGGCTGCATCAGGTTTACTCTGAACCCTTAAGGACTAGATGTGGAGGTCCCCTCTAGGAAAACTGGGGGGGCTGCTTCTGGAGGAAGCAAGAGAAGAGGTTACTGGGTAGGTGAAAGGTTTGGTGTCCACTCCACAGCTCTATCAGGCAGCCCTTGGCTCTGAGCCCCTGCCTCTTCAGTGAAGTGCCACCTCTGGGACTCCTTGGCACTGGACCCACCCAGTCATTTGTCAACAAACACAACAGTGTCCAGACTCATGTGGGAGTGCTCAGTGGGAGACCCCAGGGTTACGAAACTCCAGCTCTCCTGGGCTCAGTCCTGTCCCCAGAGAACACCCAGGAGAAGCTGAGCCCACTCACTGACAGGCCAGGAGAAGGGGGGCTGGTGGGAGGCCTTCCTGGAGGAAGTTTCCCTAAGAGCTGGTTATTCTGATCAAGAAAGCAAAGGGGCCACGGTTGAGGCAGTGCTCGCAGAGTTTACAAAGCGGTTAGTGGCCAGGCTGGTATTCACATCGAGAGGTCCTGGTGCCCACAGCCTGGCCCCAGGTTGGAGAAAGGACAGAGAGATACACAGTATATTTATTGTGTCCAGCAGGGTCCCTGAGTGGTGCAAACGGTTTGCACTCAGCTACAAACCTAAATGGCATAGTGGGTAAGGCATTGGGCTACTAACCAGAAGTTCAAACCCACTGGGTGTTCTGTGGAAGATGAGACAATCAGTCAACTTCTGTAAAGATTTATAGCCTTGAAAACCCAATAGGGGTCTCTATGAGTTGTAATCGACTCAATGGTAGTGAGTTTATTTATTTATTTTTAAATTGTGATTTGGGTGAAAGTTTACAGAATAAATTCACTTTCCATACAGCAGTTCACACACACGTTGTCTCATGACATTGACTACAATTTACCCCAATGCAACAGCTCCCCTCCCACTTCCTCCCACAGTTACCTCTTCCCTGTGTCCATCCCTCCATGCCCTCCTGCCCCCTGAGCTGTCTCCCTGTGCAGACACAGCCCTTCTTTCCCCCATGATTGTTCTCTCCGAGGACTGTATCTACCTCAGGTACATGTTCAGCTCATATGCCTGTCTTTTGTTTGGCTGGAAGCCACAGGTGTGGGTTCAATTCCAGACCTGAAGGGCAGCTAGGGACCAAGTATCTTTTTTAAAAAAACTAACCTAAAAGTTGGTGGTTCAAACCCACCTTGCAGGCTCACGGAAGAAAGGCCTGTCAATCTTCCATAAAGATTACAGCCAAGATAACTCTACTCTGTGACACGCAGGATCGTCATGAGACAGCATCCCCGTAGCAGCAAATGGCTTGTTCATTTGTCCAGCTAGCCTCATCCCAGACTTACGCCAAGCCTGAAATAGCATTGTCTGTTCAGCTAGCACAGAGTTAATCTCAGCCTGTCACTGCCTTGCTGGGTGGCGTGGGGGCAACCACTTCGTGCCTCAGTTTACTTTTCAGTAAAATGGGGATTCTAATATATGGCGTCCCCTGCGGGGAACTCTCATGAAGAATTAAGACAAAATGCTTAGAACTGTGCCAGTTCCAGGTAGCTGTTTTGTAATTCTGAGACGTCAGGCCAAGCCACTAATCTCTCGGTGCCTCAGTTTCCTTATCAGGGCGCTGCTAGTAGGTTATTTGAGATAATACACGTAAGACACTTGGGTCAGGGTCTGGCTTAATCCATTCATTAATACTGTTACTATCAGGACTTGAACTCAGGGTCTCTTCTTGAACTTTGCCCACCTGGGGAGGTCCTTGTTGCTAAGGCAAGAATCTGCCAGTACGAACCTCTTCTCCGGCTGATCAGCCTCTGTCGCTCTTGAGGAACTCAAATGGAAGGATTTCAGGCGCTCGGTGGCACCCCTCCCGCGGTCCTCCGCTCCCGGCTCTCATCCCACCACCCCGGGCTGCCTGCTCCCCCAGGAGTCCGAGGAATGTGAAGAGGTAGGTGGGGGTGGGGAGGAGCGGGAGCCGCCGGGGAGAGACAAAGGGTCCGAGTCAGAGCGGGAGACACAAAGAGGCGAGCGACGGCGGGAGGCTGGGAGATTGGAGAAGTGGGGCAAGGACACAGGGAGGGACCGGCGGCACCGAAGGCCGGACGCTAGCCCTGCCCCACTCTGCCCCTCCGGGACGCAGAGCGCGGGGCCGGTCTGTGCTGCCCCCTGGCGGGCGGCTGCGGTAAGGAGGAGGCGCCGAGCGGTGCGGGCGCCGAGAGCCCATTGCAAGGAAGGAGGACAGACAGAGGAAGGAGTGCAGAGACGTGGAAAGAGAGAAGACAACGAGAGAAACAAGAGTCTTTCTTGGGAGAGGGACAGAAAGACATGGAGACGCAGGGAGAGGACAGGTACAGAGACGGGGACCACACGACGCAGAAACTGACACGGAGACGAGGGGACAGAGACCCAGAAACAACAGGGACGGACAGGGAAACCCTGACATAAAGACAGAGACATTAAGACAGGCAGAGAGAAATCTATAAAGAAACGACGTAGCCACATCCAGAATCCGTTGCAGAGATTAGATTAAGAGACTAGGGGACGCTGTGCCTAAGGCATTTGACTGCTAACCAGAAGGCTGGCGGTTCAAATTCACCAGCCTCTCTGCGAAAAGAAGACGAGGCAATCTACTTCCGTAAAAAATTACCGCCTGGGTAACGCAGTGGGGGTCGCTATGAATCCAAATCAGTGGGTTTGGATTAGGGGACGCTACGCGATCACTCTGCAGAGAGACCCCTGGAGGGACGAGAACAGAGACGCGAGGCGGAAGTGGGAGTGGCGCCTCACAGTGGGGGCGGGACCCCAGCGGGGGCGCGTCTATAAGAACCCACGTGCCTCACGTCTGTGTGAGGGGAGGCCTGCGGCTAATGCTCAGGGGGCTTAGAACTTTAAGCCAGGCTGAGACCTGGCCCGAGGGCACTCCTGGAAAGAGACAATAAGGAATACCTGGAGAGTAGGTGGGCGGGGCTGCATCGGGGGCGTGGTTTCACCAGGGCAGAGGGGGACAGAAGCTCAGGAGGGGAGTGTCACAGCCCTAGTAGATCCGCGCGTAGAATCTGGGGGCGGGGCGTGGGGAGGCCTCGGGGGCAAAGAGAGGGAGTAGAACACCTTAGGGGCTGGGATAGAATACTGAAGGAGGAGCTTCGAACACCAAGAGGGAACAAGGATAGAATACTGGGGAGGGGCGCTCCGGGAAGGGGCGGGGTCAGAATCCTGGGAAGGGCCAGGTGTAGAATCCCGGGGTGGGAGGGGGCGGGGTCAGGATCCGGGGAAGGGGCGGGCATAGAATTCCCTGGGGGGCGGGGTCAGAATCCTGAGCCGGGAGGGCATCGAATCCCAGGAGGGGGCGTGGTCAAAGTCCTGGGCGGGGCGGGTGTAGATTCCTGGGAAGAGTCGTGCAGAGAATCCCGGGAGGAGGAGGGGTCAAACACCAGGAGGGGGCGGGGTCGGAGCCCAGGGTCCACTCGGCGTGGCGGGGAGCGAAGGGGTGGGTCCTGTGACGTCAACGAGTCCGAAAGGCCAGAGTCGAGCCTGGGGCCCCGGGGCGCGGAGACGGCAAGGCAGCAGAGCTTGGCAATAACCGGCCCGGAGCCGGAGCTCCTCAGGCACCTGCTCCCCCGCCCAACCCGATCGGCGCTCGCGTAGTGGCGCGCGGCCCCTTCCCGGGGCCCAGTCCCTTCCCGGGCCCTCCATGGCCCGGGCCACAGCCCTCCCGCCGTCGAAATGGTCGCTGCTGCTGCTGCTGCTGTCGCTGCTCTGGGAAACCGGTGAGAGCGCGGACGGCCCCGGGGATCCTCCCCTGCAGGGACCCTCCCCCAGGCCCCGCTCTTTATCCCCCCACCCACCCTCTCTGGTGCCCCCTTGCTGGCTGAGCCTTCGTCTCTGCATCCCGCTCACCCCCCACCTCCATTCTCAATCCCACCTCTGTCCTTCCCCTCCCCCTCCCGCGGACCCTGGCCCTGAAAGGGTTAAACCCGAGGTCTTCCGGAGCTTTGCGCCCCCTCCTCACCCGGCGCCGAACGCTTAACCCGGATCTGGGTTTCGGTCTCTACTTCCCCACTCTGGAATGCAGGGAATGTCCCCCCCGCCCCCTGTAGGAGGGTCGCGGTGATGAGGCGAGACCACCTCCCCCATTTCCCGTCTCCCTGGGCTGAGCGTCTGAGGCCCGGAGAGAACTGAGGGCAGGGGGCCTGGTGGCGCCCTCCGGAGGACGGGCGGGGAGCTCGAACCTGGGCTCTCTGTGAGGGTCAAGGATGAGACTTCGGCTGACCTAGGGCAAGGGCCGGGAGGGCTCCAACCTCGGGTCTCAGGGAACTGAGGGCTTCGACTCCAGGGTCCCAGAAAACAAGGGGCTGGGGACTTTACTCCTGGGCCCCAGTAAAATTCGGGGCCAAGGCCTCTGTGTCTTGGGTCCCAGGTAGAAGGATAACTCGGGGCTCTGTTGAAACGGGTTCCAGGTAGAACTGGGCAGGAGGGACTCAATTATGTGGGTTCCAGATTTAATTGTGGTCAGGGGGCCCTGTCTGCTGGGGTCCAGGTTGCACCGGAGCAATCTTGTGGGATCCAGGTTTAATTGTGGGCAAGGGGTTCAGTCTTCTGGGTTTTACATAGAATTGGGGGGCGGAGGCTCGGTCTGCTGGGTCCCAGGTAGAACTGGAGGCCGAGTCCCAGACGATGGGGGGCCCATCCGTCTTCTGTGAGCGGTCAGCGGGGACGTCCCGGGGGGAACTTTTCCCGGTTTCACTTTCGCGGTGATGGGCGGGGCGGGCGCTCCCGACTCCCGGTTCCGGTCTCCCGGTTTCGGGACCATATATTTCCGCTGGTGCCCGCCTTTGTCTTCGGATCCTCGGATCCATTAGGACGGGAGGAGCCGCCTCCCTAACCACCACCCCCCCCCGCCACTCCCTCCGCAGTGCCCTCCACTCGTCCCCCCTCCTGGCCCCTTTCCCCACCGCTCGGAGCGAGGCCCCCAGGGGAGGGAGGGACGGGAGAAAACAGGTGTAGGAGGCGCTGGCTCCGCCCCCTGCAGGTGACCCAGCTGTTTATACCCAGCTGGAAATTCAGGATGCTGGAAGTTCCCAAGGATTTTCTCAGGAAGGGATACAGGGGGATTTTGGAGGACCCCGCCAGCTCATTTACCCCCCAGAATGTCTCTGAGTCTCCCAGAGACTTGACTCAAAGCTAGGGACTACCTCTGTGGAACAGACTGGGTCAGGGCCTCATGTGCAGCGGGGTTCGAGAGTTGACCTCTCATGGAAGATTCTAGATGGCTTTCGTGGGAAGTTGTAGACTGCTCTAGGAAGACAGATCCTATTCCCGTTCTGCAAATGAGGACACAGTAACTCAAAAAGGACAAGCCGCTTTCTGAGGGTCCCACTGCCAGTCCTGGGGGAGCCGGGCTCCATAGCTTACTCTCTTAGCTCCTCAGACCATCTCTTGGCTCTCTGACCCTCCCTTTCCTTTTTCCATGCCCCTATGCCTCGGATACCCAAGGAGGGTTGCTATGAGTGGGGACGACTTGATGGCAAATAACAACAATAAGCCCATAGGAGCTCTGGTTGCATAGTGCCTAAGGCACTTGACTGCTAACCAGAAGGCTGGCGGTTCAAACCCACCAGCCACATCGACTCAATGGCAAATAGCAACAATAAGCCCATGTTCCTCGGAAGGAAGTCGGCTCAATGGCAAATAACAACAACAGCAACAATAAGCCCATATTGTTTTTGTTTTGTGCTGTCAAGTCGGACCGAGTCGGACCCGACTCATAGCGACCCCTCCTTGTGTTTCCGAAGCAGTATCACTATGGAAGTAGATTGGCCTGTCTTCCTTCCCAGGAGTGGCTGGTGGGTTTGAACCGCCAGCCTTCTGGTGAACAGTCAAGCGCCTTAGCCACTATGCTACAATAAGCCCATAGGGAGAATTCAAAGGTGCTGTTGCCCCCTTGCGAAGCTCTGAACACCTGGGAGGGGCCGTTCTCCTTAAGTGCCCTGGGAGCCTTCTGTCTCAGCTCTCTGCTGGCTGAGTCTGTCTCTTCTCTCTCTCTGGGTCTCTCCTCTCTTTCTGCTCTCTTTCTTTGTCCTTTCTGTCCATCTCTCTCCATAAAAGTCGCTCCTTTCCATCCTTGTCTATTTGCCTGTCTCCCCCTCCTCCATCTTCCCCTTCCTGGGCCTCCACAGGGAGTGGGGGAGACCCACCTGGGCCTCCGGCCCTGCGGGCTGGCTACATCTTCCCCACTCCGCCCTGATGTTCACTGTGCATCCACAGTCGTGGAGGGGGATATGGAGGGGGACAGATGGGTGGGAGGAAAGGAGACTTGGGTCTGGCTGTCTCCTCTCATTAGGCAAGGGGGACTGGGTGCTGGAGAAGTGGGGGTGAGTCTGCAGGCAAACTGCAGAGGAGTGGGGGAGGGATACAGGAGAGGACAGACACAGGGATGGGGTACCTATCAAGGATGGAAACAGAAACCGAGAGAAGGAGGAGGTTGAGGGATTCAGGAAAAGGATGGAGGCAGGGGCAGGGATGGGGCCAAGAGATGGAGAGAAAGACCATGGGGCAGAGAGAGGAGGGAGGGAGGGAGCTGGGCAGAGACTGGAGTGGATGTAGAAAAGTGAAGGCAGAGATCTGAGGGCTTGGTCAGGGCAGGGGGAGGGTGGAGTTGCTGTGACCCAGGGAGGTCAGGGCCCAGGGAACCTCAAGGCCACACAGAGGAGAGGAGTGGGGCCCAAAGGCCAGATCCCCCGCCCCCACCCGGAAGGCTGTTACATTTTTAATGTCCCAGTGAGGCTGAGAAATGGAACAGGAGGGGGAGGAGAACGGGGACCCAGTGTGGTGGCCCAGGCAGAGAGAACATTTGTCAGAGGCAAGGATTGGAGACCCCAGGGCTAGAGACAGAAGCAGAGACCCTGAGAGACAGAGACCTTGAGAGACCAGAGACCCCAAGAACACAGTGCAGAAAGCCAGATTGCAGAGACTGGGCGACCCAGACCCGCATAGCCCGAGACTTCGGAAGTCAGAGAGAGAATATGACAGCGATGAGGGGTGGGGGTGGGCCTTCTTGGGCTAATGAAAATACCTTGGCTTAGTGCTCTAGTACTGTTGTGACAGAAGTACCACAAGGGGGTGGCTTTAATAAACAGACATGTATTTTCTCACAGTTGGGGAGGCTAGAAGTCCAAATTCGGGGTGCTGGCTCTAGGGGAGGGTTTTCTCTCTGTCTCCAGGGCTCCGGGGGAAGATCCTTGTTTCCTTTCACCATCTGTGGGCCCAGCGTTCACTTCTCCTTCCTTTTATCTCTTGTGGGGTACAGTGAGACACCCAGGGAAACTCCCCGTACATCCATCAGGCCTATGACCTAAGTCACGGTGGTGCATCCTCCCCTGATCCCCTCACAATTGATTGGCTGATACAGCAGATCACGTCGTTGGGGTGATGACATCATTCACTAACTGCCAAATTACGTTATTATGTAACCACCAAACCACCGAGAATCATGGCCCAGCCAAGCTGACACATACTTTAGGGACACAGTTCAATTCATGACATGTTCTAAAACTGACCGGGGTGACAGAGCCACAACTCAGTGAAGATACTCAAAGCCAATGAATTGTACACTTTAAAGGGGTGAGTTGTCTGGGGTATGGATTATATCTCTAAAATGGTTAAAAATGAGAGAGACCCTGGGAGACACAGATGAGAGTGGCACAGATCTTGAGACCTAATAGGGGCAGAGACCCTGAGAGGCAAAGAAACAAGCAAAAAGCCTATTACTTTCAAGTCTGTTTCGTTTCATGATGAGCCTGGGTCGCCCTGAACTGAGTTCTATAGGTTTTTCCTGCCTGTAATCTTTAAGGAAGCACGTTGTCAGGCTTTTTCTTCATGGTGCCATTGAGTGGGTTCGAACCCCCAACCTTTAGGTTACTAGACTGGTATAGACTATTTGTACCACCTGGCAATTGAGAAAGAGACAGAGATTCTAGGAGTCAGAGACCCAGAGGAAGAGATCCAAGACCCTCAGAACCAGGCACAGAGACACCAGGGATTGGAGAGACGCAGACAAGAGACACTAAGATGCCTCAGAGAGAACTGAGATTTTTCAAGAAGGGGAAATGAGAGTCTAAGGGACAGAAAGGTTTAAGATTTGTCGCGAGGGGCTCAGCCCCAAAGAGCAGCCCTACAGATGCAGCCCAGAGGGGTCAGAGCCCACAGGAGAGACTGTCCATCCTGGTGGCCCTGGCCCCTGCAGAAAGGAAGAGATACCTCAGGCTGCCGGTCTGTCTTCCCGATCTGAGTGACAGCCATCCTCAGCCACTAGAGGAAGCGGGGAGGGAGGGGCAGAACTCCAGGCACAGACAGACAGCCTTGTATCCTGGCTGCCCCTGCTGCACGCACCCCCCAAACCGGCTTCTGGATTTCCGCTGTGGGGGTGGTCACTGTGATGAATGTAATTAATTAATTAACGGGGCGGCTGAAGCAGCAGTTGAGGCCAGAGCTCAAAGCACGCAGGCCTTCAGTGGTCACGCCCTGCCTTGGGAGGGGGACTCACCGGGTTTTATAGGTGTGTGGGGGGTAACCCAAGGCCCTAAGGAGCCAGCCAGGTGGGAACGTCCAGTTCCTCCTCCTCAGGTTCTGGTCCCCTCTTCGCTCCCACCAGAGAGTCTGGGACCCCAGCCCCCTTCTCCCTCACCGGCCCCCTCCTTCTGCGTACCCAACTTCCTCCTCCTCAAGGGTTCTGCGAGTTACTGCACACCCTGCCCTCTGCCTTGGTCTG